CAAAAAATAATTTATAATAATAATTTAAAAAATAAAACATCTTAACAAACAGCTAAAATTTAAATAGTTCTTAATTAATGAAACAATCAATTAACTTAAGGAGACTCGATGGGGCGAAAGAAGACGTGAGCGACTATGAGCTATACACCACCAGCTCATTCTACCGCGTCGCTGGAAGGGTCGCGAAACAAGCAAATGCGCCGTTCCTCAAGATCGCGTCGCGTCGCAGGAAGGGGGGAAGAAGAGTCGGAACGCACATCAAGATATCCGTTCGATTCCCACCTTCGCGATTGATGTTTCCGCGTATCTCCTTAAGTTGTCTTTTTTTCTTTTTTATTGTCAACCGGTGGTAGGTTGACGTTTTAACCAGGGGGGTGTAAGAAAGGGGATTAACCCCGTACCCACGGTGCTCATCTATGCAGACACTCTGTTCACATTACACTTAGTCGACCAGTTGGTGTGAACAGAGTTGAACAGTAGCATGAGCATCGATTTACAAATTCCTTTCCCAGCTGATGTGAGCTAGGCGATGACCGGTAGGGCTGACTTCCAAGCAACACCGTTAACCTATTAGCCACACACCCTATCGGTAATCAGCCAATGAGAAGGGCTAATGATGAAGATGGAGGGGTCAAGACTCTTGGAGCTGGAGGATCTGAAGGAAAACATCGGGGAGATCACCACGGGCCACCGGAGAAAGAAGATCGGGAGTTTGGGAGTGCGTGTATCGGTGTGTGTGCTTCTGGGACAATAGACAGTATGTAGAAAGAATAAAATATCTAACTAACACTTTGTCAAACATAAAAGTCATATAATTTGTCAGTAACTAATTCTTTTATATTTTCAATTGATTTTCTTTTCTTGTAAATTTAACGTTGCAAATTAATTTATCTTATTATTGTTGTTTTTTGCATTTTCAAAGTTTTCTTTTTGCTGTTGTAACACTTTTAACTTTTGTTGTTTTCGTAATTTAAATTTTTGTTCATTACACGTTGAGTAACACCCTTAAGCAGTCTTATGTCTCATTAACCTAACACCTCTTGACTAAGCTAAGCGAGTGAATCATTTTAGGAAACTTAATCTTAAAGTGAGGCATGGGACTCGCAGGCTATTAGATTAAGAAGGTATCTACAATCCTAAAATGCTATGGGACGGGAGGAAAACAGGTCCGCGATGTACGAAGTGGTGAAGGAATCAGTATAGGCGAGTTTTTCGGAGTGTGAGAACTGTTTATGATGATTAGATTAAGGTATCTTGTATCTACAATCTTAAAATTCTATGGGAAGAGAGGGAAACAGGTCTGCGACGTAAGAAGAGGAGAAGGAAGTAGTAAGGTGAGCAGTGTGGAGTTTGGGAATTGGAAACCGTTTGTAGCAGTTATGTATATACAATGCTGAAATGCTATGAGAAGGGATGGAAGCATGCCCACGACATAGAAAATGGTGAAAGAAGTAGTAAAGGCTAGCAGTGCGGAGTGTGGGCAATGTTTGTGGCAATTAGATTAACGTATATAAAATACTAAAATGCTATAGAAAGTGATGAAAACAGGTCCACGATGTAGGAAGTGGCTTAGGAAGTTAAGTAAAGTATGAACATATTGTGAGAACCGTCTGTGGCAGTTAGATTAATGTATCTTCAATCCTAAAATGCTATGAGAAGGGAAGGAAACAGGCCCCACGACGTAGGAAGTGGTGAAGGAAGTAGTAAAGGCTGGCAGTGCAGAGTGAGGGAACCGTTTGGGCAGTAAGATAAATGTATCTAATACTTAAATGCTATGAGAAGGGAAGGAAAAAGGTCTATGACGTAGGCGATGGTGAAGGAAGTAGTAAGGCTTGCAGTGCAGAGTGTGGGAACTGTCTTTGGCAATTACATTAATGTATCTGCAATCCTAAAATGCTATGGGAAGAGCATGGGAGAGTAGTAAAGGTGGGCAGTGTTGAGTGTGGGAATGGATTAATGTATCTGCAATGCTAAAATGCTATGGGAAGAGACTGTAGACTGTAGGTTAAAATGAGTATGAAGCACGAATCGTTACATACACGATTACTAGAAAAATACCGGTATGGATCGTAAATATAAACAAATGACGTTTTTGGCCCGAAAATAAACATTATTTTACATTGCTTAACTGGAACTGCCAAAACATATGTTCAATGCTATTAGTATAGGATTCGGGCCAACAAAGTCATACCGGCATTTTTCTAGTAGCCTATTCTCGGTTACATAGGCCGGGGCCACACGACGCGGATCATCCGCGCGATTGAATCAAAAGAGAGTGGTCACACGGGGCGATCCTAAGCCGCCTGGGCGGATTGTCCACGCGATCATAAGCCGCGTTGGAGGGGATGACACACGTAGTCTTATGAGAGTGGCCACACGATACGGATTGTCCGCGCGGTTGGAGCTCATTTTCAGGCATTTTTAGTGGTTTTTTTTTTAGTTTGTGCTTGTGCATTTCAGTTTCTAGGTGTAAAATGTTCGATACAGACAAATCAATAGAAATTGTTAGAGATAATGTGGGATTCCTCATGTTGTACATTTCTCATCAGTATATCTTCCTTAGTTATATGCGGTCAAAGCAATTGAAGTAGCTCGTCAAACGATGCTATCTACATGCGATAGTAACAAACAAAAAAAAAAACTCCGAACTATGTTTTCGCATGTGATCGTAAAAGGTTTGGAACACAAATGGTTTATCGGTTATGAAATGATGGACCCAATGATTTCGGTTTGCCTTAGGCTCTAGCTCACCACACACTTCTAATGCACAAAATAACATACGTGTTTCTTCCATGACTACAACGAGAACGAGTGAATTAAACCATGTTAGGCCCCGGCCACACGACGCGGTTTAACCGCGCGAAGTTAATCCGCGCGAAGTTAAGGGGCTCGACAACACATTGAAAAATATGAGAGTGGCAACACGAGGCGAAGTTTAGCCGCATGTGCGGTTGAGCCGCGCCATGTCGTCCCCCGACCGCGCGAAGTTAAGCCGCGTTGGGGGGGATGACACACGTAGTCTTATGAGAGTGGCCACAGGAACCGGTTCGACCGCGCGGCAGCCGCGCTAATTGGAGATATTCTTCGGACACTTCCAGTGCTTTTTTAGTTTGTTTTGTGTGTTTGTTACCGGTTGTGTGGTGTTCAAAAAATGTTTGATGTTATTGTCAGACGTTCCTCATTACTAATTGAACTTCTCATGAGTGTATCTTCTTTGGCTGTTGGCGCAATTCAAGTAACTTGTCGAACGATGCAGTAACACCAAACACATACATACGGTAATAACCAAAATAACTCCGAACTATGGTTTCGCATGTGCTCGTAAAAAGTTTGGAACACAAATGGTTTTTCCGTTAGGAAGGGATGGACCCCTGTTAACATTTGGTTAACGCTTCTAATGCACAAACTAACATAATGTTTCGTCCACGACTAAAAAGAGTGAACTGAACAATGTTTAAATAGAGTACTGATACTGGGAAAACCCAACAGGAAGTGGTTCATCCGCCCCGTGTGGCCAGGTATAAAACTTCCAGGTAAAGGTAACTTCGCGCGAAGATAAAGCGCGCGGCTTAAATTCGCCTCGTGTGGCCGGGGCCATATTTCGATACGTATTCAATCGTTTACAATAGAAATTTACAACTGAGTTGACAACAGCTGAGTTTTACTCCATAGAGGCTAAACACGATTTTTTTCCCCTAAAGAGTAAAAATGCTACTTTAGACCCGCAACACATGCACTAATGACGACTGTTTTTATGTAGTACTAGGTGGCCCGACAGACGTCGTCTTGTCCCAATGTGGTTTATGTCAAATGCTCGTTCATTTTCAAGATGAGCTCGTTCGCATCGCTCAATCACGTCCTGGTTGAAGTTCGTTTAAGTACGCTTACTCACCTTTAGGTTGGAGCTCGTTCGCTGCGCTCGCTCACCTTTTCGTCGTAAATTAGCTGATGTCATAAATTTAAAAAAATAATAGTGCTGCACCCTGTTGGCAAACCTATTATCTTTTCAATGCTATTGAACATCACAGAATCAAAGTTGAACCAGCTGTTAAGATATTTTAATTCCATTTAAATATAAGTACTCATAAGGTTATTATGAGAAACTCCAGAGCCACTGGGGCGGAGCCCTTTTAACGGATCTGCACCAAACTTCACACAAACCATCCTTGAATAATGCTTAATAATGCCTGAAAGTTTCATTTCAATCTGTCGAGTGGTTTCGGAGTCCATCAATTTCAAATATATATACATATAAATATATATACAAACTTCCTCTTTTATAAATATAGACTAGCTGGCCCGACAGACGTCGTCCTGTCCTATTGTGGTTTTATGTCACATGCTCGTTCATTTTCAAAATGAGCTCGTTCGCATGGCTCAATCACGTCCTGGTTGAAGTTCGTTCGCTACGCTCACTCACCTTTTGGTTGCAAATTAGCTGTTCTCGTAAATTAAAAAAAAATATAGTGCTGCACCCTGTTGGTAAACCTATTAACTTTTTAATGCTATTGAACATCACAGAATCAAATTGTTTAGCTGCACCAGCTGTTAAGATTCTTTTATTCCATTTAAATATGAGTACTCATAAGGTTAACATGGGAAACTCCAGAGCCACTGGGGCGGAGCCCTATTGACGGATCGGCACCAAACTTCACACAAACCATCCTTCAATAATGCTTAATAATGCCTAAAAGTTTCATTACAATCTGTCGAGCGGTTTCGGAGTCCATAAAGGAAAAACATACAAATATACAAACATACATTGGATTTTATACATATAGATGACAAAAACAATATAATAAAATGAATCCTTGATCACTCCGCTCAATTTTGTGGATGCATCTGCGAACGCCACCTAGTAATATTAGTATGAAGAATCATTATTCAAAATATAGCTTCATAGGACTAAATAAAAGCCAACGTGCAAACAGTTGAAAAAAGCTATTGGTAAAAATTTACTACTCAAAAAGAAAAAATCATGGCATAAACAAGGACAGGGACAAGGAAGGAGAATGAGTATACAGTATACGAAGAAGGAAGAAGGACCTTTCATTAGAATTACCAAAATATTTTAAACCTATTTGTAATTGTATCAATCAATGGATAATAAACTATTTCGTGGCTCCTATATAATCTTTAATCTTTCTTATCTAGGGCAGGCCTTACTTACGGATACAAAGAGAGGTGGACGTGAAAATAGAGGACTCGTCACTAAATGTACGATGAAGATACAAAATGGAATCTAAGTTTCCTTCCTATTGGCGATTGTGCGTTTTTCGTCAAATCATAGACTTAGAATAGAACAAGAGCCAAGCAACGAAGCAACTGGGGTATTTTCTGGATATAACATGCACAAGGGCCACAATGCTATTGAATTCAATTTCCGTACAAACCGCTGATAATGAAGAACATGCAGCTGAATTGCAGGTCTAGGTTTAATTAGGTAAGTTAAGACTGTTAACTTAAACCATTCAATTTAAAAACAGTCCTAGGCCTATCTTCAATGGCTAGGGCTCGAAGCATTTTTTAAACGATAACTTAAGTTTAGTTTCAGGTAGCCCACTCTATCCACAAACTAACTTAAGGACCTATAGGCCTAGCCCTATAATTACTTGAATTCTAAGCTACAGTACCGGTACCCTAGGCCTAGGTCACTCAAGATTAACAACTAATAAAAGCCAGTTGAGCAGAGCAATCAAATGTTTCATGGTTTTTAATTAACTCTAGATTGGTGTCTTCGGTCTGTCAGTCCAATGACGTAATATTTTTAAGTTCCTGCTCCCCCGCTAGGATTCAGGACAAGTGTCTCCTGCTACCATCCTGCCTCGTCTCAGTCTACCACCATACGCTGGGGCTTTGAGGTTACAGATCCGTCAAAACTGTGTAAGCATTTTTGGTAGGCCTATTGTTATTTCATTGTGTTTCACCCACCATTTTAATTTTGCAAAAAACAGTCTGGAAGTAGCATAAATTAATGAAGTCGTTTCATTATAACCTAACCTTTAATACCTAGAATCTAACCTCACATCAAAACACTTACAGACACGAATCTCCGTAAAACCCGACCTACCTTCCTCACATGCCTAAATAATAACTGATTATTTGGTTTCAAAACAAATTGATTTCATTCTGCATTAAGTCAAGTATAAACAGCTGTTTGCTCTCCTCCTCACCTAGTCCTCACTCCTCACTCAGTTCACATACGGACCCGTCCAGACCACGCCATATTACCTTCAGTACCGGTACCGCTCAATTATCCTTAGATTCGTAATCTTAACCTTCGTTTTACGGCCACTTAGGAATCTCTCCGACATAAACTGGTTGCATAGGCTATGTGGATTCAGCGTGAAAAAAAAAAAAACTGTAAGTAGACATCTAAAAATTACATCATATCCTAGTGTAGATACAGTAAATATTTGCCGATACTAACTGCCTCAAAGCGTTCCCTTACTCTGGACTGTTTGCCTCACTACTTCCTTCACCACTTCCTACGTCTTGGACCTGTTTCCCTCCCTTCCCATAACATTTCAGTATTGCAGTATACATTAATGTAACTGCCATTAAGTGTTCCCACACTCTGCACTGCTAACCTTTACTACTTCATTCACCACTTCCTACATTGTGGTCCTGTTTCCCTCCCTTCCCACAAGTATTGAAGATATACATTAATGTAACTGCCACAAACGGTTCCCACACTCCGCAATGCCAGCCTTTACTACTTCCTTCACAACTTCCTACTGTACGATACGTCGTCATCGTACTGTACGTTTTGGGGTCAGGGATGGGGCGTTGTAATAAATACACTTGTTACATTTTAAAAGGGCTCAGAGGGCCGCAAAGGGTATACGGTGTTGACGGGACTAATACATGGTGTGGACTGACGTGAGGAGAGGGGATTTAGGCTTGTTCGGAAAGGTGGTGTGATGGTGGCGTGATATGACGTCACGGGAAATAGCCATGAGCTGTTTTATTAGAAATATCGCCTGATTTTGCATATTGCCGACCTAAACAGAAATTGTGGTTACATGATGGTATGAGTGTCAAACTATTGTAACATTATGGTACAAATTATCAGAATATGGTACACCTACGTCGTGGACTTGTTTCCCCCCCCCTCCCATAAGCTTTTAGTATTAGCAAATTTCCCTATAGGCACAGAAAACGTACTACTATACCCAGAATGCCAACCGCATGGTAAAAAGCATTAAGCGGTTTGAGAGAGCTTTGCCTGTCAATCCGTAGGCAGCGCCACCAGCGTTGCCATGCAATAGCATAGCAACGCTGGTGGCGCTGCCTACGGATTGAAAGGCAAAGCTCTCTCAAACCGCTTAATGCTTTTTACCATGCGGTTGGCATTCTGGGTTATAGTAGTACGTTTTCTGTGCTATAGGGAAGTAGCTATTACCGTAGGTGGTACGGCAAGACCTATTTACTTTTTCATTTTGATGTCCCCAGAGGCAAAAAACACCATTCGCTTAAATTTTTATATACCGGTATGTATATATAGGCTAGATAGATGTAATATATAAATATGCATTATTAAAAACTAAGTACCCTTTTTTTGAAATTCATTTTATTTAACAACAACTGGTTTTGACAATTATGTCAAAGTCATTTTGTTTTTATATCTAACAAATACAATAAACATTTTATCTAAATAATAAATAAAATCATATGATTTCATAGAACGCGATAAACTTGAGTAATTTTTGTCGATTTTGATGAAATTTGGTTTAAGGGTGTAAGGCGGGATAAACTTGAATGAGTTCGCGAACTAGCATGATCGGACCATGGGAACGGGGTTTTATGGGGTAAAAATTGGTTTTTCTCATTTTTGACCCTCAAAACACAAAATTTCCCAATTTATCTCTAGACCTTATTAAAGAGCTTATAAAAACAAATAATTTAGTATATCAAAGTGTTTTTGTATGGTTATTGGTAACGGAGAAAATACAAAAATTATTACCGTACCTATAAATTTGAAATTCCCATGTTATTCTTATGGAGAATATTGAAAATGTTGTAGTTTGCTTGTTAATGGATATAGTTTGATCAAACTTGGCAAATTTATTTATTTTATACTAAGCCATTAATAATGTACTAAAAACTTTAGTAATAAAAACTTCAAGTATATTGCAAAATTGCAAGTTTAGGCGGTAATACATGGGAAAATTTTTTTAAAGATCATTGGGAGAGGGGGGCCCGGCAAAAAAACTTGCGGGGGGGGACCGCGGGTTCTTATCGCCGCCACTGAATCTTACTTGGTTTGGATTTGCTTTCAAAACGTGATCGGGAATGGTTGCGGTATTTGTAAACAACATTCAATGTAAACATATCAGTGACAGCTAGAAGAAATAATCTTGATTCGAACAGCTGTTCGTTATTTCATAGATGATTATGTGATAAAAATTGGGAAAACTTTACAAAACCAAGGATTATCACACAAAATTGGGTTTTTAAACGTCCGTCATTTTATTTACAAAGTAGTGACGCCATATTTTAATGGCTAAAGGCAATCTCCCCAATCCAGTGAATACATTAAAATGATTTGGAACTTGATAGGTAGCCTACTCTCGTTTTTCAGGAGAAGACTGCGTAAAATGGCTCTTGGGCCGTGACAGACCGGAAGACAGACAGACAGAAATTTAGATGAGACTTGTTTCGGTTTCTTTAATGTATAAAACGTAAAAATAACCTAAAAGTTTATGATTCTGAGCAATGTACAGACAAAACTCTAATTTTATTTATATAGATAGATGAATGGAGATGAGTGTAGGATGAGTGGCACAATCTTGTAGTCTTATTAGTGAATAAGGCCGAGATATTCCTTAGACACAGCTGTTAATTAGGGGCCTAATAAATAAATTTATTAAACGTTTCCCACGCTCCGCACTTCACAGTGGCACAGTGGAATTGCATACACAGTGCTTGAATTGAGGTAATGTTCAATGCAGTAAATAAATTGACAGTAAAATTAATATTTTTCTGCAATAAATCTATTGATATTTACTCCCAGTTTTACAGAGTAATTTAAATTTAATCAATATTAATACTATAGAAACAATCTTCAATCTCTACTGTGAGCTTATCAACTTGCATGTATTATGCACTGATTAACAAAGGATAATGTGTGCAGTAGATCAATCTTAAATCCTCTTGAATAGTAAAAATAAATAAGAATATGCTTCTTCAGGAAATAAAATAAAATGTAAAATCTTCAATATAAATAGTAGGTATCTTGAGGATATAAGTTTCACAGAAAATTCAAGTTATACTCAGTAATTTTTAAAGAGTCAATTTTCAATTTCAATCTTCATAAGTGTGCACAATTTAAATGAAATGGCAGGAAAAATCACTTCAATAAATTTCACTTATTAATAAATGTCAACATAACCTCATTGTTTAAAAATGTAAACAAAGGGGAAAAATGGGAAGAATAGGGATAATTTTAGATGCAGGGATATTTTTAGATCCTAAGGGATAATCAGGGATTTTTATTGGAGCGGGGATTTTTCTAAAACGTACGGGATATGTGGGAAAAGTAGGGATATTGATAGTTTGTGCACCAGTGATTGGCATCCCTGTTGGAAATACCGGCAAATTCACGACACTTCTTATCTTGAATGAAAATTCCTGTTCGAGATTGAAATGTCAGCAATAGCTTGACTTTTTGGATGATAAAAGGAAAACTGAATTTCAGTTAAAATTAATTGATTGAATAACAATATCCATAGCAAAATAGTTTATAATCTGGCTCGAAGGACCAAATGTGTTGTGGATTGTTTGAGAATTGAATTAGCTATGTAATTTAATTAGTGGACTGTATTATATTATGACGTTGGAATAAATTGAGCAGTTAAATTGACACATCTGAAACTTGAAAGAAAATAATTAATAAAGTCTTATCTAATAGTAAAATTAAAGTATCACTCACGACCGAACCTTTCTTCTATGTACGAAGCGTGGTCGGTGGCCTGGAGTGTGGAGTGTAGAATTCTCAGGGGCCCCTTGGTCCAGCGGAGATCATCCTGCCGTAGTGGATAACGCCGTTTACGGACACAAAGAGAATCCCGGAGGCGAGACACGATATTTATTGAGTTTAAAACTGATCACGGTTTAAAGAAAGTTCAAGGCACAAACTGGTGCGTGATAAGCGGTAGGTAGCGGGCGGGAATGTAAGTTGACATTGACATGAAGAAAGATAAGAGGGAAAAGGAGTAGGTAATGCTACGTCACTGGCAGGATTGCCAACTAGGAAAAGAGGAATAACTAGCAATGAGTCTGTGTTTATGCATGTATGCCAAAATGGGCTGAACCTAAATTAAATACACAACAATTGTAATGTAACTGGAATGTAGGCCTTCTACCAATATTAGGACGATTTAGAGACGTCATTTTAATACCGGCCTAATAAAACATAGGCCTACGAAAAATGTAAAAACTAAAATGTAAAACACCTTTAAAAGACTAAAATGAACTGCGACAAGGCAACACGTCATGGGCTGAGGCAGCTGTGGTAGATGCCGCTTTGTCACATCGCCGGTGTAGTGCTATCAAATACAAACATGTTTGTATCTTGAAGTGCTTGTAGCACGACCGACAAGCACGACGCCGCTCTTGCTGCTCAGCTAGGTCACTCCTATTACTTACCATGTGTTTGGATCTCTCGGTCGCGTCACTCTTGACGTCCAGCTAGGACGGGGCCTTAGCCTCCCTGAAGCAGCAAACCTAGGTACAGAACTCGTTAAACAAATGTTATTAGAATAGATTTTATTGAAAATCAAATCAGGTAAATAGTCTGCAGGTTTGCTGCAGTGGGAGTGTTTTATAACAATTTTGAGCATATACCACAGTTCAAGAATATTATAAACACTAATCAGTTTTAGCTTTGATTTGACTTCTGCTGTCACTCAATCAAGGTCAGACAAACCGGCAACACACTTAACTTCGTCACTCATCCATGGTTGAACCAACTAGTCCTCTATGGGAACTTATATAAGATGACTGAATCTATGCATAGGACATTTGCAGGGAGTGATTCATTGAAGCTGTTTTCAGAAAGATGAAAGTACGGTAGTGATAGTGATGAATACTGCCTACACTTGGTAAAATACAAGTTTTACTATAAGTAAAGTAAGTTAATACAAACCCAAGTTGTTCCAACCGGCACGTGAGTCCTTCCGAATAAAGGGGTCTGAAGTAGGAGAGCAACTAAACTTGTTAACCATCTCTGTTGAAGCTAATTTTAAAATTCCAGATTCAAATAGAGGGTTGTGTCTCATTGTTTGTTATGTAACATTTTGTCTGTCCAATTGAATTTTCTTTTAAACACACAATTATTAAGCTTCTTATAATTGTGGTTTTTGTTTTTTTACAGCATAAACTACTTATTACTTAACCAAAAATGAGTCAAGAAGAAGATAAATCTGAGAATAGTGAATTTAAAACATTGAAACCCTACTGGAATTGTCCCCTTTGTACATTTGAAAACAAAGCAGAATCCTTCAAATGTAAGATGTGTCATGTAAGACGTGGAAGTTCCAGTAGACAATCCAGCATCAACCCAGTACTGGCTACTCAGCAATATAGACCTACGAGTCATCAGAATCATAAGAAACACCATCTAAGCAAACAAAAGGATCCATCAAATAAAAATAAAAACAAACAAAATGTCAAGGTGGGTCGGTTAGGAAAACGAAGCAAACAAGCACATACAGCTAAAATTAGCAATATAGACCGTAAATCTGGACGTTCCTTAGCTATTACGGTCAATAATGTTACTGTCACTTTTACTGAATATAAACTCAAACCAAAAAAGACAAATAATGTAAATAAGAAAAGTAAGAGTTCTGTGTTTTTACCTCAGTGTTTGGTTCCTAGTGAAATAGACTCGAGTTCTAAAAGCTCTTTTACTTCACAGTCAGAATCCTTGCAAAGTTATACTGATGTGGTATCAAATGACAAAACTGAGTCAAATGGTATTGATCAGTAACAACTGATTCAGTGCGTTGCTCAGGTAATATGTTTGATCTCAGGAAATAAACTCGTTTCAATATTAGGGATCTGGAGAACAAACCGTATACTGTAATGTATTGATCCAAGTTTTCTTTGTATACCTTATTTGTTTCGTTAATGTTTGTTTACTAATTGGTAAATTAATTTTAAAGAGGAAATGGAGATTTTTGTCTGAAGAAACCAGCAGCTGTTAACGGTCTACAAACGTATTGAGTTATTGAATATTAAATGATTTTATAATAATTAGACCTCTGAAAAATGCATATTCTTAATTATTTAGCATCAAATAAATGTTTTACATATAGATAGTTCACAATATACATATTTATTATCTAGTAAAAGTTTCACTGAATAGTTTAAGTAACTCACAAGGTTTATTAAATTTCTACATTAGCACTACTACATACAGTGTTAATCAGGAAGTTATTTGATAACTAATTGTTTCAGGAATTTTTGCCATTAGAAGTTCAAAAAATACAAAAGTTACAATATCCTCTAACCGCTTGATAAAAAATTGGAAAAATTCAAATTTTGAAAAATATGGTAATAAACTAAAAATAAGTAAGTAAATTTTTAATACCTAACAAAATAATTGTGTTTTCGGATTTTTTGGATCACATAATGCTGAATTAGGTAAATTAAGGATTGTGTAAATCAAGGACTACCTGTATTTGAACTTAATTTAGAATTAAAGTTACACTGAAAATGGTTATTTTGAGCTTTTTATACCTGCAAATAAACAACTCAGGATTTTATGGTTTAGAAAGTATAACTGAGTATCCGTTTGTATTCATAAGACTATAAAACCATAAAAATATATTTTTTTTATCTGTTGGTTTGGAACATAATTATTTTTTATTATTATTATAAGGTCACATTTGAAGTAGATTACAAATTTAGGGGACATTCCGTGTGCACCATGTAGCACAGGTGTTGTGAGATAATCCTGATATTGATATTACATAATGCAGGCTAAGTCAACTGTCCACGTGACTCTCTTGTGAAGGCACTAAGTACATTTGACTAGATTTGTACAAACTTATTTGGGGATTAGTTTAAATGGGTAGGCCTACAGTAGCAAAGACAGCCACATTGCCATTTGAAGTACATGACTTGTGGGCCATGAACCGGCTTATGGCTACTGTATGTGTAATGTGGAATCAGTTTTGTTTAAGAATCATGATTGAGTGATGCAAGTATGATTAATTATTGTTTTCTCCAAAAAGTTAGGTCAAGTGTTATGCTGATTTTCTGTTAGCTACCCTTATTATGCCAAAACTAGTTACTGAAGGTTAATATTTTGAAAAATATTAAGTGAGTAAATTTGTATAAATTATACATTACATTTGTTGGATACATTTCAAATAAACAGGTAAATTTTAAAATGTCTGAACACTTTTTAGCAAACATTTCCTCACTTCTGTCATACTGAACAGGTGCTAGGGTTCTAGATGTTGCTATACATTTTAGTTTAGAAGTATTGTATGCTGGTGTAAGTAACTTACTTTATGTACTGTTTTCTTGCAAAAGCATTTAAATAATGTTTGTTGTAAATATTTTAAAAGGGTATATATGTGCAATCCAGTTATATTCCTAAATCTGTAATACAAATTTGCATAGAGAGATAATGTTTCATGTACCTGTTTTCTGTGTAACATAATATAATGCTATACGTGGTAATTATTGTGTTAAATATACATAGAAGTGATCGTGTTTTACTCACTTTGTCCTTATGCTCTTTTATGTGAACATTAAATTTGGAATAATTATTTTGACTGATTTATGGTAGTTGTTAAGATTTTTGTTACATATATGTATAGTTTTATTAGTTTTATTTTTTTGTTATTTTAAATACAGTAGACTCCCTCTTATCCGGACACATTTTAACCGGACATCGGTTTAACCGGACCACACTCGGCGGAAATGATATCCCTTTAACCTGACAATTTTTATCAATACATCGGTTTAACCGGACTAGATCGGCAGGAAGTGGGCGGTACTGAAACGACCGTTCTTGTAGGAAAGATTTGAGACCACTGATCACGTGTCTAAATACATTACTTTCCTAAATTTAAGTCAAATACGCATTTAAATGGTCCGTTATTTTACAAGTTTTTGGGGACTTCGGTTTAACCGTTAAAACCGTTATCCGGACTGGCCTCGGTCCCGAGGAGTCCGGGTAAGAGGGAGTCTACTGTACCGTGCATTAATGATGTCATTAAAGAGAAAAGAGGGTATCTTATTTTAGTACTGTAACGAGTTTTGCACTTCCAAGATTCAGTCCATTATTAAACTGCTTATTACCTCCTAATAAAGCTAAAAAATGTTGTTATTGTAATTTGCCATGCAAATTTGGTAAAATACCTTACACATTTTGCATTAAAATATTCTTTCTAGGCAAAAGTAGCCAAGTTCATCCAATACAAATTTTCATATTCATCTGGTAAAAAAAATATATGTTAAAAATTACACACAGGTTTAATGTTTTTTATGTGTGAAAATTAGACCACAAATCTAACAAACTTGGATTGCACTTTTGAGGTATACTGAAAGGAAACAACTGAAAAGACTTTCAAAAGAAAATGTAATTTCTTGGGCAAATGAGCATATGCTAAGTTGTAAGTTAATGGCAAATGATAACAGATTATTAAGTCTACAAAACGTTCTGCCATTCTATACATGATAAACCCTTTTGAAGTTTTGTTTCCAGTTTTAATCTATGACTGCAAAGCCCCTTTAACTTATGCAGCCCACGACTGTTGGCCTATGTTTTCATTTAAGGAACTACGTGTACTTGTTAAGGGTTGTCCACCGAATCATATTTTTTTGGGAAATCCTTATTAGCGAATTTCCTATATAGGGAATAAGCTATTACCATAGGTCTCATGGTAAGACCTGGACCTGGGACTGATGTACATTTCGTTTTGATGTCCTCATAGGTCAAAAACACAATCTGTTCAAATTCATATATATATAGACGTGTGTGTCCGTTAGCACGATAACTCGAGCAAAAATTATCAGATTTCGATGAAATTTGGTACAAGCTTGTAAACCTACATTTGAACGAGTTCGCGAACCAGTAGTGTTTTTGTATGGTCATTGGTTATGGAGAAAATTCAAAAAAATGTAAATTTTTAAATTTCTATGTTATTCATATGGAGAATAAGTAAACTGTGTAGTTTGCTGAGGCGGAGGTGTAATATCTTTTAGCGAATTTCCCATATAGGGAATAAGCTATTACCGTGGTACTCATGGTAAGACCTGGACCCAGGACCGATTTACTTTTTTGTTTTGAGGTCCCTAGATGCCAAAAACAACATCCGTTCAAATTCATATATATATATATATGTGTCCGTTAGCGCCATAACTTGAGCAAAAATTATCCGATTTTGATGAAATTTGGTACAAACATGTAAACCTACATTTATTCGAAGGAGTTCGCGAACCAGCATGATCGGACTATGGAAACGGGGGTTTTATGGGGTAAAATTCTGTTTTTCCCATTTTTTACCCTAAAAACACAAAATTTCACAATTTCTTTCCAAACTATTTTGTAGAGCTTAAAAAACAAATAATTTAGTTATATCAAAGTGTTTTTGCACAATTATTGGTTACGGATAAAATACAAAAAAATGTTATTTTAAAATTCCCATGTTATTCTTTTGGAGAATATTGTAAAATGGCCTTGTTTGCTTGTTTATGGATAACTTATATTTTGATAAAACTTGGTAAATTTATTTATTTTATACTAAGTAGGTATTTAATATTTTAATAAAAAAACACTTTTTACCCTCCCTGTAGCAGCAAGCCTAGGTACTCATTAAACCTAACGTTAATTAAATACACTTAATTGAAAATCAATTCAGGCAAATGGAAATTCACTTAGTCAGCAGGTTTGCTGGGGCGGGGGTATTTAGCTTTCTAGTGTCAATGGAAAAAAAACAAATTAAACCTGTGTATACCACATTTATAAGAAAGGAAGATGTGTCAACATCTTACCAGTTCGTTTCTAATTCTATTTTGCAGTCTGTAGCTTGTGTTTTATTGTAGAAAATGTTTTTCTTGATCCTTTAAATTAAAAAATGTTAACATATTTTCTAAAACCAAATTTAAAACAATAAAATAATTTGAAACCACCTGCTTCTCCTGTCATGTTTTACTAATGTGTGAATTCATTAAAAGAGATTTTATAGTAATTAATTGTTATTATTATTTCTTCTGTCACCTAAACTAAAATAACATCACTGCTGCTGCTTAACTTTGTGCAGTTTAGCAGTGATACCTGGAGTGTCTAAGATCTCATTTTGTATTGTATAACTCTAATTCATATTTGGCTTAAAATACCTAATTTGTATGGTTGCCATTTCATTGAAAAAGTATTAAAGTTTCTTCTGGCAAATGTTCTTATGCTTGTTGATGCTGTGTATTGCAATGTGGATTCATAACAAATCGTATAACTTCCAAATTAATATTATATTCCAATTAATTACGATAACTTTGAACAGAAACCTGTGATTTGTGGAGACAATCAGAGAAGTTGTATACATGGCAATCATGTAAAAGTTTTTTTAAGTGAAAAGTTTCAAACCCCTTCAGTTTCTTGTAAGATATTTGTAATTATGTTTTACATACTGCAAGTCTTATTAGTCTAAGAAGTCCTCTTGACATTTTACACTAAAAGATGGAATCCATATCACAAGGGTTCTCGAACTGTGGCTCATGGGCACAGTACAAAACACTGCAAGATGGCCCATCCCAAAATTGACCAATCAAATCGTAGTGTCAATCTTTTTTGTAAACTAAATATGGTATACTAGATTTAGGTTAAAGCCAGACCATAGAGAGACCATTTAAATTACAGCTAAGTTACCATTAGTGAAGTTGAGACTGCCAAAGTACCTAATACAAAAAATATACTTTCTTATTAAATGGGGACCATACAAAGTACGGTAGGTATTTTAAGCCAAGTATGAATGGAGATGAGTGTAGGATGAGTGGCGCGATTTTGTAGTCTTGTTAGTGACTTAGGCCGACATTCCTTAGACACAGCTGTTAATTAATAGCCCGTACAAAAATTATAGTGGAATCCAAACCACATTTTTACCTTGGTATATACCCAAAGCTCAAAGCTGTGACAACTTTTAACAACAAATAATGCAGTGATGAACCTAGGAGCGATGAACTTTTCTATGAGCGGGTGGCGAGTGCTTCTGTGCGTCCCGTGTTCGTCCCAGATATCACAGTTTCCAAGTTGTTTTGCAGCAAAGCGTTGCGAGTTATTAATAAGTATACCGTACAATAATCGGATATTAGGTATAGTAATTTATGTAATTTCATACTCAAACAGTAAGTAACATAATCTAATTTTTCCTAAATTCGAACGGATTTAAGTACCGGTAATGTAGAGAATTCACCTGAAACAACTTTTAATGTTATGATTTATGAATGCATATAAAATCAAATGTTTTAAGATAAAAATAAGGTTCCTATGATGTTACTGTTTCATATATCTTTTTAGTTTTTATGATCTCAATTAGTACTGTATTACATTATCTAAATGTATAGCGCACTAATTAAAGTCACCAATATGTCTTTATTCATATTTCAGGGTGGGAGGTAGAGGGTATGCAAAGTTAATTCCAAACTATTGTTGGCTGGCATATCAGAGAAATCTTGGAGGGACTGATCTAAAACCAATAAATCAATAAAACAGGACTGGCCAAAAATCTGTAGGTCTCCAAATGCCAAAAGACCCCAGAACTAAACATTTCTAAAAGTAAACATGTATGTGACAATGTGTGTGTATTGACCAACTACATGTAATGTCATATACCGTAATGTAAAATATAGTTTTCTTTCTTTTTTACTGATCATGTTTTAAACTGCTCATGTCAACCGTGATTCCATTGTCGAAGGACTTCGGACTTGCCTACTGTACCATCCCCATCCCATAATATCGCTATGCTTCTCAAATTGTTGAATAGTGAATATAATCAGAAAAGTTAAGTATGAGGGCTGTCTGTAAACTAAGGTCTCTGAAAATCTCCAATCAATGCCCAAGCCTGAGAGTATATGTGTTCTTCGCTTCATCCTCTACAATTCTAGCTGGTTCCCACCCCTAAGAGACAAATTATCTAGTTATAGTGTCAAAAATGTGAAAGAAAATCTATTCATCTGCCAAGAAAAATTCTGGCCCTGTGATTAGATTTCTGTAGTCATGGCCATCAACTGCTATTTATTAAGTCCATCACCATACGCCAGTGGAGTGTTAATGGTGTAGAGTGTGTGGATAAGTAGAAAGTATGCATAAAGGGGTGGAGGGAATTTGAAGGTGGTTGTAAACATTTGCACAATGTTTTACATGGTGTAGGGAAACTAGTCGCCCCTCCAGTCTCATTTGAAGCAGGTACCAAAAGTTAAGGGGAATTTTGCTTGATCATGCAAAATTTAACCAGAGAGATTGCCTGAATGATAGGAGACATCCAGACATATCTGTAAAGCCTACTGAGAACTCCCCAGCCCTTAAAGCCCCAGAATTCTAAAAACACATATCAGTACGCAGTTCCCTCAAATTATATCACCATCTCAATCGAAACTGATAAACACCGGCTGCCACCTGCAATGCAAATGTGTATGACCTTCCGCGAACCCCCTAAGCCACTTATTCACATATCAAAACACTTTTCCACATACTTATCCATCAACTGGCAACAGCAAATCAAGGGATTGGGATTGACCCCCTCCTACCTATAAGCATCGAACGTGATTCATGCTTAGTGGGAGCGTCAATTTTCTTTACATCATCACTTTGAGTATTATGACAAAATTAATTGTCCTATTAGGGGAGTCAACCTATTTTCAAAAATTTGTTGTATCATTATCATAGTGTATTGTCGTCTTAAAATTAGACATGGAGCCTTGTTATGATACAGTATTAATTTTCATGAGTTTTTTTTTATTGGGGGCTAATAATTTTCAACGTAAAGTTTCATGAAAATAGTCTGGTGGCATAAAAGGTGTTACAAGTCTTTGTGAGTCTGACAATGCCTTAACAGTTGACATCACTTTGTGAATAATTAAGCTATCACAGCCTTTTACTTTCCATTTATTGCCAGTTTGTCTGACGGAAAATAAAAGTGAAATAGTATCGTGGTGTATCGTAATGATATCAATGTTGAATATCAATGTATTTTGATTAAAAAAAGACAAATTTTTATATACGTTTAATAAACAGTAATATTTACAGATTCATCTCTTATTTTGTTCAGTCAGCAATAAAGACTGGGTCGTAGCATGTGTATCCGCAGTGTGTGGGACAGCACTTCTGGTCGTCTGGACACTCGTGGTCGCTGGTACACAGGTTGCCACACAGTGAGGGAGGCTCCCCACTGTTACCGAGGTGTCTGTGAGCCTCATGAATGTCTGGCACTACACGTTTGATATACGGACACAGACCAATGCGACCATCTGTAATGTCAACACAGCAGTTAAGTCACAATAGCATGTATATTCATATAGTGTGTAGGACAGTACTTCTGGTTGTCTGAACATTCGAATGGTCACTTGTACACAGGTTGCGACACAGTGAGGAAGGCTCCCCAGTCCCCACTGTTGCCGAGGTGTCTGTGATCTTTGGGAATGTCTGGAACCACAACCTTGATATATGCACAGACCAATGCGACCATCTGTAATGTCAATTGTCAACAGTAATCAGTCACAATACTATGTGTAAATTTATACAAAATATGTAAATCATTCAGGTTCCCTCATCAAATCCAATTAAACACACCATATTGTACTACTCAGTTGGTTTTGGTTGAAGCATTGACTTTTAAATACTGAAGTAGACATCCCATCTACATGGAACAGCTATACCCCATGTTGCAATTTTTTTATTTAAAAGGAACATAGTTGTGTGAGACAGTCACAGAATGCTCTAGCGTCTAAAATTCTATTTTCTACCTTATTTTGTGTTGCTAATGTTTATGGGTCATAACAGCTACTGTAGCTCACAATAAGACGTTCTATTAATTTTACTTGGTAAACAAGTTTGTGTATTCAGCAGTAACATTGACCATACACAGTAATTAGTAACTTACATCAGCACAATCTGTCGGTAGCTCATATAAACTACAACAAGGAGTGAACAGAGGGGGATTTCAGTAAAGATTTTTATGGAGGGGTTTTAATTGACTTAGTTCCATAAATAACTATTTATTATTATTTGTTTATGAGTAACCCTAAAATGCTTTTTGTTATATTCATACACTTTATTTAACACTTGCAAGATAATTTTGGCTATTAAAAGCTCAAATTTTATCCTTGCAACAACCCGATGTCTTATTGCGATCGCAGGCGGCTGTCAATATATTACCACGATCACGAGAATCGGTGATGATACCTTCGCTACCACTGAAGGCATGATATTGCCGCAATCTCGAGAGACGATGGTGATGTCTTTGTGACCGTGGAGGGATCTCAAGATATTGCCGTTATAACAGGAGGCAATAATGATGTGTTCACGACCGCTGAGGGATGTCAAGATATTATTGCTTGATCACGAGAGGTGGCGATGATGTCTTCGCTAACTCGGAGGGATTCAAGATATTGTCATGATCATGGAAGGCATGATGATTTCTTTGCAAATGCGAAGATATTTAAACATTGCGAAGATTACGGAAGGCGATGATGATGTGTTCACGACCACCGAAGGATGTAAAGATATTGCTCCGTGGATAATGATGTCTTCTCAGCCACGGGTAAATGACAAAGACATTGCCGTTGTCATAGATTATTGTCATGACAACTGTATGTGCAGGCAGACAGAAAACCACATTCTCGGAAAGGGCGCTGGGAGAAAAATATGGTTCTTTTTTAGAAAATTTTCTTATATGAAGTAGCTATTCTTCATTCCCATAGCGGCTTCACCCGTCTTGCATTTGTCCGTTTGTGGCTAATTATTTTTTGTATCGGTTGGGTGAAGAGACCTTCTCAAATTCTCTATAATAAGCATGGCATTTTCATAAATTCAAAGTTTTCTAACCATCTATCGTGACCTTTATATCATCATCCTAATATTTGTATTGGAAAACATATGCCCCTTAAAAACATTCTGTAATGACAGTTACTTGGTGTTTATATTATTTTTTTCACTTTCAAAAAGCGTGAAATTTTGGTTTCAGTGTGGGAAGGTGGCACTGGCAGGTGGCTATTTTTTTGGGGGGGGGGGATTAAGGGAAAGGGAAGAGAGAAATATGAAATGGGAGAGGAGGGGGCTTTGCGCCTTTCAGGGGATGGGCACCTTTGACTACAACGATTTTGATTCAAAAACTGGCGACATCCGTAACGTAGGGATGGAATGTCTAGAAGTTAGGAATACATTATATGAGAGCATAAATTTTAGATTTTAAACAACAGGGAGGGTAAAAAAGTGTTTTTGTTGTAAAACGTTAATACTGTAGTTTTGTAACAAATGAATGTACTGTATTTTCCGAATTTGATCAATGAAATATGTTCATAAACAAGCAAACTACAACAGTTGACTTATTCTCCATATAAGAACAACATAGTAATTTGAAATTTACAATTTTTTAGGAATTTTCTCTTTTGGAATTTTTTGTAATTTTTGGAATTATTAGACGCATAATATACTAAATTATTTGTTGTTTTAAGCTCTGGTTTGGAAAAGAAATTGTGAAATTTTGTGTTTTAGGGTCAAAATGGAAAAACCTATTATTACCTTTAATACCGCAGGTTTGCTGCGGCTGGGGTATTTTATCAACTGTCTCAATTTTCAACAACTAAAGTAAATATTAACTTTATATTGAAGGCATTCTATGAGTTTTGTAATGAAGAATATAATTATTCTTTGTAGTGTAGCGAAAAGACGTTCAAAACACGAGTGAAAGTGTGTCTATACCACGAAAAACATAAACATAAGTGTAAACAATCCAACTTTGACAGTTCTCATTGCGTATCACGGTTTTTTGTTGCTGCTTGGTTCAAATTAGCTGTTTTCATAAATAAAAAGCATGCTGCACCCTGTTGATAAATCGTATTACTTTTAATGCTTTTGCATATCATAGAACCAACTTTTTTACTTAAAACAGCTGAATAAATTCTTTAATTCCCTTTAAATATGAACGCGGTGTTAGGCCGTCCGCTGAATTTTTATTTCAGGATTAGTGTTGCCTTCAGTATTATTTTGAGGCTTCTGATTGGCTGAGGGAACATCATTACCGCGACGATACGGTTGATGCCATCGGCCTCGGTGGTGTAGTGGATAGAGTACTGGGCTGATGATCCGAAGGATCCGGGTTCGAATCCCACCCGTAGCACTATTTTTTGTATTGGATTTTTTCATTATCAACAAGTTTGGTTGGTTTGGTTAGGTTATGACGGTTTAATTTTATAATTAAAACATTATGAAATTGAATTTGACCCATTTATAGTTTTATTTTATGAACAGAAATATTTTTTTCTGTTAAACCTTCATTTGATTTTTCATTATTAGCAAGTCTGGTTAGTTTGGTAAGGTTATGATAGTTTAATTTTAGAATAAAAAAATTATAAAATAGGATTTGAGGCATTTATAATTTTATTTTATGAACAGAACTATTTTTTCGATTAATAAACCTTCATTTGATTTTTTCATTGTCAGCACGTTTGGTTGGTTAGGTTAGGTTATGACGGTTTAATTTCATAATAAAAAAATATAAAATTGAATTTGAGGCATTTATAATTTTATTCTTTTAACAAAAATAATTTTTCAATTACTAAACCTTCGTTATAGTCAATCAGAAGCCTCTAAATGACACTGTTGGCAAAATTAATCCTGAAAAACAAATTGTGCAGCCCGTCCTACGTACGTGAATTCAGTAGTCAGTTCAAACCGTGGACAATTCAGATCAGCTAGTTTACACAAATAAAGGCAAAGTTTCTTGCAGTTTTTTTTAATGTGAAAAATCGTCTTGTAAACAAATGTTGTGTGACCAAATATGTTTTTATTCCATCGTAGGCCTATATGATATGCATTTTAAATCCGATAATTTTACAATAAAACAGCAATTCTGCAATTTTTACGATGTGAAAAGCGTTGAAGTGAGATTTGCAGCCGATTCGCACAGACGCACACTGATTATAGCCTAAGTAGCCTACGGTAGAGAGAGTAATAGTCGATTGAGAAGTGTATAGACCTAGTCAACGATACCACCTTCCATAGCATACCTGCCTCTTCCATAATTATTACCACCAAAATACAACTACACAAATTCCAGTAGGTCTGAATAGAAACGACCTAAAATATAACGATAATATCCAATAAAATTGACAGTACACATAATTTAACTTTGGTGTCCTAACATCAAAACTAACTAATCGTCACACATATCCTTTATATCAATTTCACTGCATTAATTGCTAAATAAATAAGTGTAAACAAAGAAAAGTAATAGTTATTTGTGTAACTAGTGGTGAAAGTGGCACTTTGCTGCACACGAGAGCAATGTTTACGCATGAGCCGCAGGCGAGTGCGGAATGATCTCGAGTGCAGCAAAGGCCTTTTTTCACTCGTGTTACACATTATATTTTTCCTACAGTCACTATAAAGCATATAAATTAAATTATTAGTATTTCAAACACTATACAACACGTTTTTAGGTTCAGCTGGCAACACAAATGGTGCCCTAGAGAAAGTAGTACCCGCGGTCCGTATCACTCCGCTATTTTTCCTCGGCAAGAAATGTGCTCTGCGTTTTGAGAATATAGTTCCGTATGTTTTTGTAATTTGAAGTGGCTTCCGCGCCTAAAAAAATGCTTTAAAGGTATTTTCTTGTTTATTAAGATCGTAGGAATGTTTTAAAAACGTTTAAAAGAAAAGTCCAGAAAGTTCAGAAATACCGAAACTATAAACACGAAATGACAGGTTAAATCGTAGTTATAATAGTCAATCAGCTGCTCATAGTATTATTATCTTTAAGTGTTGCCAACCTATTTTCAAGCGTACACGGATTACGTGCATAATAGAACCATGCTGTTTCGTTGGAATCCTGATGTGCGGCAAAGTATAAACCGTACGGCAAAGTATAAACCGTACGGCAAAGTATAAATATGCAGCAATTAGCAGCTTTCTGTACTATAAACAGTACAAGGAAGCCAACTTTGTTGGGTGACTGTAGGAAAAAACAATAACAGTTGGTTTTGAAACAGCTGTTTGGTTCAAATGACATTCATTTGAAAAAAAAAAGAACTGGTCACATGTAGCAGGAATATAAAAAGTAAACACGCTAGACGCTAGTAAAGCTAATGACGTAATTGTCAATGTGTATTATCCATACCGTTATCAGTTCTATCCTTGATAATTAATTACCCACCCTCATTGAATAAACATACATAGTAATTTCCCATATTAGTTAATTTAAACTACAATATATTCATAGTTTAAACAAAAGTAATATTTTCACGTTTGGGAGCGCTGATATAGACACCCCTAAACGTAACCACAACTGAACACGATTTCATAAAAGGATGGTTTGTCTAATTGCAGTGTCCTAGGTCAATGTTGACATTGTGTTCAATCTATGTCATCCATCTGTTTATCTTTGTATAAAACCCGGCTGAGGTTGTGGTGGTAATTTAGGTTGTGTTATAACAAGTGTGTTCCCCTAAAGACATGGATACTGTTAAAGTAGCCTATTTGAAACATAGGCAAGCATTAAAAAAGAAGTGTTGTTTTTTTTTAATTTCCAGTGACGTCGGTACGTTTCCTCTTTTCCATATAGTGTAGTTGTTTTGTACATGTACTAGTTGAATGTGTGTTGAATGTAGGTTCAAGTTGTACAAAATATACAACAAGTTTTTAATTCCGACACAAATGAGGTCGAGATAGTTGAAAAGTAATTATTGAATCGATTCTCGGGCTTTACATTTTATTGTAAGACTAGACTTTACATTTTACCTTGAATTGTTTAGTCAATTTGTAATTCTTAATATAACGTTTACATTTAAGAAAAGAACTATAATACTTACGACCAATTCAAACTGTCCATCTAAACAAACTGTATTATAGTTGTTAATCCGTTGGCAAATATATGAATAAATAAATACACAGGCCACAAAACATGTAACATACAACGTTAACAACGTAAAGCTTTAAAAACTCACTATGGTTTGCTCAAAAAACTTTCACTTGATGTGGTGTAGTACCAAAGTTATTAATCTCCCTTGGTTTTAATTTCTTTTTAAGTTTTTGAAAATCAAAGTTATTTCCCATTAATATGATTATTTGTAAGCAACTGTTAATGTTGACATATTAATGACAGTTTGAAGAAACCACCTTTATCCAAACAAAGGTTTCTTATTTAAAATATTACCGTTACGTAATCTCTAAACGATAATCGGTACATACATCTAGCAAACATTCGGAGGAAATGGGACAAAAAACGCAAAAATCTGAGGTTTTGAACGTTTATAGTTTTACTTCCTAAGTAGGAAAAGTACCAATATCGTTGTCGAAATGTAAGTAAGTAGAAACCAAAAGTGACACATTGGAAAAGCGAGTTTAGCTACATCTGTAAGTTAAACCTCTGTTACGATCATACGATCACAGCAAAATCAGAAACATCTTCCAAGATCGCAGCAACATCCACGATCACCCACTGCAGTTGTGATTTTTTACTTTGCACTTTACACAACTGTCTTTGAAGCGCCCGCCGTCAATGAGTGGAAACCTTTTTTTTTGTAAGTTATTGGTGACGATGATGTAAAAAATGTAAGTTTCCCAGCACTAATACAACACTGACTCCCGGTATTTTCCCCGGTTATCAAAACTCAAGAACAATCGTTGCACTTGCGACTTGCGATTAATTAAACCGGTTAAGTAAGGCACAAGGTTTTTAATCTCACTTGGTTTGGATGTGCCAACAAAACTTGATCGGAAATGGTTGCGGTATTTGTAAACAACTTTTAATGTAAACATATCAGTGACAGCTAGAAGTGAGAACTAATCCAAACAGCTGATCGTTAATTCATAAAATGTAATAGTAAACATTAGGAGAAAATTTTACAACAATCTAACAAAATTGGGTTTTTGATGGTTCGTTATTTTGTTTTCAAGGAAGCGAGGCTATGTTTTTATAGCCAAAGACACTCTCACCAATCCAGTAAATACAGACAAATGATTAGAATCTTGATCGGTGCTCTAGTTTTCTAGGAATAGGCCGCGTAAAATGACATTTTGGCGTCACAGACGGAATCACAGAATGGACAGACAGACAAACTGACATACAGACAGAAATTAAGATAAGACTCGTTTCGGCTTTCTAAGGCTATGAAACGTAAAAATAACCAAAAACTGTATGATTCTAAGCAATGTACAGACAAAACTGTAATTTTATTTATATAGATAGATAGAACTTGTGTGTTGTAACAATTTATACTAGACTTACCATTTACACACGGATTATACCAGCAATCCCTACTCACCTCAGTGGACTAAACTGGACAATCAGCAGTGAAGATTAGTTAATTGTACCTAATTCAAACAAAATCCCTGTCCTGCACTTGGAAATGTGATCTTTTATGTTTCAAAGAAGTCCCGTGCACATTCTTAACACTTGACCACTTACATATAAACATCAAAATGTGTGGAAATTTAAATTTCTCCAAAGCTTTTTCGGCTCTGTGCTTTGTTATGAATATAAACATGTACGGCCTTGTACGGTTTTTAATTTCAGTGTATGAACTTAATTGTAACATTTGAGTAGGCCTATGACGTGTATACTCAATGATTGTAAATAAGTAATGAAAAACGTGATCGGCGGCTTAAGATCAAAATTAATTTATTGTTGTAGGTTGTAGTAATGTATACAGTATCGTAGGCCTACTTGTTATTTAAAAGAATTAGGCCTAATTTATTTCAAAAATATGTTAGTAAAATAAGGTGATTTTTAGGTAATTGAAATAATTTAGAGAATGAGGCCCTGGGACCCTTAAAAGTTTCGTATTTCTCCATAAGATTAACATGGGAAACAAACATTGTTATGAAACTCCAGTGTTGTCAGGAATTAAAAGTGAGAAGAAGAACATGATAATTTTGTAAACAGTCAATAAGTTGGCTAATTTGACAGTTTTGCTACAAACATTTACTTAGTTGGTTGCAATACAAATACTTACTATTTGAATGTGGGTTGGCGTATTACAATGGACAAAAGTGAGAGAGCCTGGATAATTTGATAAAAGAAAACTGAATTAACACTGTGCTGCATTTCTTAGTAACCATTGAAAGAGCCGATTTGCAAACTATGGAAACACAGGAAAGTCATAGAACACTACCAAGGAGAAGAAATAGAAATAATGTTTTTTTTTATTTATAATCGTTATTATGGACAACCTATTGCGGCTATGAGTAAGGCTATTTGTAGTAGGCCTAAACACTAAAAAACAATATCAGCTTTTGAAATATGGTAAGATATTTACAAGAAATGTTGATTATATCGGTCTGTTATGTGCATCTTGAGTATTTCCATAATCTTTGAGTCGAATCTTTTAAAGTCATCAGAAATTATCACTGTTATTCGTTTTGAAATAACGCCTGTAATACTTAGAAATTGCTCGAATTTGAGCAACAGGTACACTAGTAAGTTTATAATGAGCAAATTTCACTCTATAAAATTGTGCTGGAAGATTCCAGATTTCTTCATTTATTCAACAACAATCTCCTTGCAATTAACTCCGATCCCTTGATCTTTGATCACTGGGAGGCAGAAAGGCCATTCAATTTAGGACACACTTCGTCATTGCCGCATTGTAAATTTGGTAAGAAACTTTAAATATACCCGTGCCACAAAATCCAGCTATTATTAAAAACCACATTTACAAAAATAGGTAAAATAGTCATTACTATCATTGCCTATTAATATACATGTAGTCAATACTGTTGTACTGCCACAATTTAATTGAGTGGCATGGCAGGCAATTATAATAAGGAAATAGTATAGTAATAATAAGGAAATTGGTCTAGTAATAGTAATCAACACCTTCCTCCAATGACTAACAAACATTTTTCTAATAAGTAGTTTATATAGGCATTACGCCAAAAATGGCATTTTTAAATGTGTGAAAGTACTATACAAACACTTTTTGGGAAATGTTATCCAAAAACCCATGTAACTCCTGTCGTCCTGTGGATATGCCGGGGTAGGCCTACCTGTCCTCCTGGCCCCAAATTACAAGATTCTTATCACTAGGCTAGGCTAGCAACACATTCTATAAGTAATTGCATTCTAGTACTCTATGCCCAAACACTGATTCTAACGAGTAGCGCGACTAGGTGACGTGTTACTTACAGTCAGGACGACGGAATGTGTGTGGAGGACGAGGCCTGTGTTGAGGGGATGTTGTCACTGACGACACGATGATGGTGATGACGACACATACACAGAGCTGCGACATGTCGGTGAGTGGTGAGTGGTGAGTGGTGAGTGATGACAGAGGGGCTACTGACTGTGACTGGCCACTGAACTGACCAGTGAGTGGGAGCAGCGACAATTGATACACGCACTAACAACTACTGTCAGTGACGTCGTCTGCCGCTGTCTACAAATATAGTCTTAGTGCGCTGGTGTATTGTCCTCAGCGAAAACACCATTTCAAATTATAGGTCAAGACAAACACATTTTACCAAAGGAACATAGATCTGTGGTGCCTATTTTTCCGTCTGTATTTAATTGTTTTTTTTTTTCAATTTAAATAATAACTTCTAAACGGTTTGAGATAAAGCGTTGAGATTTTTCAAAAATGTTTATCTTATTAAGACCTATTTTTGTTTAAAATACAGTAATGATAAAAATCATTAGCCGTTTCAAAATGGCAGCTATTTAAAATATTTGATGCCAAATTTCACGGAAACCCTTAACTTTACAAAAAAATTGCAGGGGACAAAAAGCTCACATGAAATTGACAAACATATTACCGTAAAAAAAATGCTATAGTTGTGGTTTTGAAAATTACGTAAATATCGAATATGTGTTGGGTGTTTTAAGTATTTTCCCATAAAAACCCCCATAAAAACGAAAAAAGGATTTGAGAAAAAACTGGTTTTGGTTTTAACTTAGTATGTTATGGTCCTTAAAACATTAAATGTTTTTTTGTTTGTTTGGAAATTTCGATTTTAATGGGAATTTTTCCATAAAACACCATAAAATAACGGAAAAATCTGATTTTCTCAAAAATGGCCCGAACTATTTTGATAAAAATTTAGTATGTTGTAACCCTTTAAATTCCAAACAAAATAGTACAACTGCCATTTCTGTAAACATTACGGTTCAAAAGTTATTTTCCCATAAAAAAACCTCATAAAATAACAAAAAAATTTGATTTTTGGAGAAAATCTGGTTTTGATCAAAATTAATATGTTATGGTCCTTATAATAAAAAAAATAGTACAACAACCCATTGCTGTAACAATTGCGGTGTTCAAAAGTTATTGCAACTTATGTAGTTTTTAACTATAAAACAACATATTTACTCTCACCTTACACAAAGGTTGTTGACGAGCTTATGGGAGAAAGTATGTGTCAGATTGCTGATACCGTTTATTTAAGCTTATTTAAAGAAAGATTAATATTACTCATAACAAACATACTTATAAATAACAACAAACAAATGATTGAATCAGCTGTTGTGTTTTATAACACCTGATTGACTTATATCAGATTATTAATTGTAAATATATTTAGACAATGTAAAAGGAGTGTTGTATTAGCATTGTTTAAATGGAGAAAAGTGATCATGCATTTGGAAAAGAAGGCATGTCTCTTTCATTATTTATCCATTCTTAACCAATAAGGTATCATCATAGACTAAGCAACACAAGTAGACTCCTCATCCCATTGTAAATTTTGAAGCTTGTTTTTCATGTCTAGTTCATGTACGTCCACACTGATCGCTGGGGTAGACCACATTTTGTTTCTATTATTTTAGGGTTATTTTCATGATTTGTGCTTTACTATTTGGTTATTATGCTAGGGGACCAGTTATTCTTTATGATTAAATTGTTTTATATTATTAAATGAGGTTTTAAATGACTGAAATAACAAGAAACAAATTGTAAACAAAACATAACCTCTACAGTTGGACGTACAGAACAAACAATAAAATTGGCTTCAGCTGTTCCATAAGGATGACAAATCTACTAAGGGAGTATGATTTATCTATGGTATCATTTAAAACTACATAAAATTTACTAACTTTTTATCTCTTGCAATCTTTTTGTCAAGCTAACGGGTTTCGTGAAATTTGGCATCAAATATTTTAAATGGCTGCCATTTTGAAAAAGGTTAATGATTTTGTAGTATAATTTTAAACAAAGATAGGTCTTAATAAGATAAACATTTTAGAACAATCTCAACGCTTTATCTCAAACCGTTTAGGAGTTATACATTTAGTTTGTAAAAAACTCATAAATACAGACAGACGGAAAACTAGGCACCACAGACCCATATAATTATAATTTTAATTATGTTCCTATGGTGTTGCTTGACCTAGGCAATAACGCTATATACATGTGTTCAGAGAGTTAAATTTTGTTTATCTTTTTTGAGTTCGTTTGGCTTTTGTACCCGACCGATTTTCATGATTGAGGTCTCAAATTGAAGGTATGCACATACATATTTCACATCAAGCATCGGCATATATTTATTTATTGTATTACTTGACCAAAAAACATAAATTTGATTTATTTTTGAATTCTTACTTCAATTTAAGATGCATTTCACCAGATATGATTATGCCATATATTATGGTCGAAGAACCTTCAGTGAAATACCTGCTTTCATTTAAGCTATAGTTATTCAAATCGGACGAGTTTCAAGCAAACGCAAGGTTAACAACCAACATAACAATTATTTTTTATAAGGGTTTACTATGATAAAAAATCAATAGCTTTAGTATTGTTGATGTTTTTACTGTATATGTTTTAGACTCAAAATAATCAGTAAATTGTAGGCTTTAATTTGATCTATTGATCGTTTGAATCAGTTAAGTTCAAGACACTGTATTACTCGAACAAAAATCATAAATTTGATTGTTTCTCAGATATGATAATTATTTACACGCTACGGAGCAGCATGGGTCCTCTAGTAGTTTGTTATAAGTATTTTATTTTCGTGTTATTTGCGACGAAATTGAGTTTTCCTTATTAATATACGTTCCTTGTAGACAGATGATTGCGCGAGTTATTAGTTATAAATCCTGGCTGTTAAAACTGATTTAACATCCTTTTAATAAACTTCCTGTACCATAAGCTTATAATATATAGTTACAAGTATATTATATAGTTACCTCTACGGCAAGCATGATTGAAACATGTGGCGATGGAGAGACATATCACAATTAATTAGTGTATTTCCATTGCCGGGATATAATTATGTACGGTAATAAGATGTCATATAGCAATAACCATTTCTGCTAGTGTTAAATACTGACTAACTAACTCTTACTGAACTAGCGTTTCGACATAGTTTACGTTATTATCGAGTGTACATGTTCACAGACCAAGATAGAGCTAAAGTCCTGTACTACTAACAATGGTCTATATCTATTTCCGTACAGAACGGCGAATATAACGGTTGGTTGTCACTCGATGATCCCTCAATAGATCAGCTCTGTGTTACCTCTGCTTTCCCTGGGACTTCCTAACACCTATTACAGGATATCAAGAAATGCTACAGACAATGGCATTTTGGGTTTATACCACAACATAATTTAGACAAATGTGATACTGAGCGCAATTTTACCAATAATTTGTTAGGACTATGTGAATTAAACCCTTGTCCCTTATTGATTTTTGAAAACTAATACACACTTTCCAACGTATATGGATTTTTTCTCAAATTTTCATTTTGTTATGTGAATTTCAAAATTAGTAGAAACATATGTTTGTGGAAAAACGCAAATTTTAGTTGCTGAAATATAGTTTGCTCGGCCATAAAGTCTAAGTTTCTTATACTTTAATTTGGTTTTAGACCGGAAATAAAGACCAAAATCATCACTATACATAAAACTTAATAATGCATTTTTTTTGCTAAATGTTATTGCATATACAAAAAAACACAAGTTTGATTAACTGTCTGAAAGAACTGGGAGCTCTTATAATAAAGTAGTGCCAAGAGTAGATACATACAGAAAGCGTAGCGCATAGGTACATCAGTATAGAGAAAGGCTCTGTCGAAGACGGCTCGTATAAGTCTTGTCAAAAATACCTTAGATGGCAGTTTTTGATCAGTAGGACTAGTTGAAGTGTCAGGGTGCATGAAGTGTGTAAAGGCAGGGACAAACATGGTGATCGAACATCACCACTTATTTCCAATCCTTAGGAAACACGAGTCTCGGTTAATGGATTACACGAGAATGTCAACTACGTTCGATTACATATTTAGTTTGATGTCCATTAAAATTGTTAATTGTTGTAGTTTTATCCATTAAATACATTTTGGAATTGTAGTAAATATTTGAGAATAATATGTCGACATTCTGTCGACATTTATTTGCATTTCAGTGTCACTTAAAGTTAAATATTGTAGTATTATAATAGTATTTTAATATTGCAATTAAAAATAATATATTTTTTATAACAGTAACAAATAAATGATACGGTGTTGATAAACAATGTTATGTAGGCGACTCAACTTATGCATGATGATTTATTATTTGTATTTTATTGACCAGAAAACTAGATGAAACAATTGGCTGAGATTACCTTTTTCAAATGTTGAAAGTCGTAAAAGTAATGTTTGAAGTGACACTTCCTATTACAGTCATGGTTGCAGTCGTGATGTTACAGTCAAAGGTTTTAAACTAAAACCATTCTATCAACATTGTATTGTTTATCTTTTTGATTGCTACAAACAGTACTCACAATATAAACACAATTGTATAGCAAAAACACTATTTTCTAATCTCAAACCCGCCTGTCAGGCGTCCGAACAAACAAAAAATAACAGTGGAAAGAAATCTGGAATTGACTAAAGGGCGCCGACAGAGCGACTGTCGGACCTCCGCCGGATGACTGTAGATAACGCAATAGAAAACCCATTAAAGAATATTTTGGTTGACTGTGTCGTGACTGATATGTATGAACTGTGACGTTCCGTAACTGATATGTGTGAATCGACCTTAAATAAACATTCTGGCAGTTTTAATAGGGAAAATCATCTTGTAAACAAATATCACGTGACCACCGATTTCTTTCATCCGATTAAAGGCCTATACGATATGCATTTTAAATCCAATATTTTTACAATAAAACAGTGATTGTGTTGATTGGAAAAGCCTTGAAGTGAGATCTGCGGCCCATTCACACACACTGGCCGGTCAGACTGGTTTAAAGTACAGTAGCTACACCAAGTTCCATTGCATAATATCACTTACATAGTACTGTATCATATTTTACCTCAGTGACCACTGAAACCTTAAGAGGATTTTGGCCTCACATTTCTCTTCTATCCCT